GTGTTTCCTAAAAGTCAACAGAATCACAAGGATTGTTGCTCTTAGGTTATCAAGTTCTGAAGTGTTTGAGAAATGGAAAAAAAAAATTCATAAAACCAGGATAAAGATATGTGCATTTATTTGGCTAAGAGAATGAGTGACAAGCTGGAGGTGGAGCTGAGGTTTGTATAACAATGTGCCTCAAATCCACTTGGAATGTTGTTGTTCTAATAGAGTTGATTCTAAATGTCAGCATTGAGCAATCAGATGGCATCAAGTTCCTCAAAAGATGGTTTTAGTGACATTATCTGAGAGGTGGCTGTGCCTAAGCAGTCACTTTCCAGGGAGCAGTAGCTGTAAATGAGCTGTTCTAGTGAGTTGCTTTCCATATTATCAAGACTACGTCACCCAATTCTAGGATATTCTCCAGTGCAATGGTGATTTTATTGTTATCAGCGTGAAAGTGTGGAGTTTGCTTCTGGTCTTTAAGTTGTGTATGTGGGAGGGAAAAAAAAAAAAAGGCTGTTTACACACTTCCGGATTCTGGTATTTCTTCTTAAACAGCTGCACCTTCTCCTAAAGCAGTTAGTGCTGCCTTTTGCCTTCTGTCACTATACTGGCTGTCAGCCTCCTGGTCCTTGATTGGCTGCTTTAATTATTCATAAGAAAATATATTTTCCTCTGTCAGCTGCAAGCTCATATGTCTTAGATTTGTCTGTTATTAAAGAAAACCATGAATGTGCTTTCAAGCTACAACACATGTCTCATAGTTTTGGGGAAAAAAAGAACATTTGCTTGCCATAAAAATGAAGTAATTCTAGCCGAGGGCAGTCTGTAGCCACCAGTGTCACCACTGAGATTCAGATCAATTCACAGATACCTGGGTTGTTGCATCACTGCAGCAAGTTCATGGCTGACATCACACAGCTGCAGAGGGACTGTTCTGGAGCCATGTTACATCATGGGTGGGAGCCCACAGCTGACAGCGCCACAATCTCTCATCCATTGTTGCCAGCAGGTGTTGTGGCGATTGCAGACGTTTGGTTTTGAATAGACAGCCAAAATCTGGGCTTTGCTGCTTTAAATTAAAAAAAAATAAAAATTGAAACTATGTGGGGAGCATGTGCAGGTCTCTGATGACAAAAGGCAGATTTTTATTAACAAAATTTTGTATCAAAGCCCAGGTCTAGAGTGTCTGCCTTTGTCGTAGTTAATTGGAATGAGAGCAGAAGCTGTATTCCATCACAGCAGGATTAATGGACTGATCCCATCAGCATCTCGTGATGAGTTGGAATTCACCAGCACCCAGCTGGTCTGAGTGCCAGCAGCAGTTGAGCTGCAGCTCCCTCTCTTTGTAGTGTAGGTAGTGGGTGTCCCATACGTTGAACAATGCATCTTTGTGCGTCACTGATTGTGCTTTGGAGGCAAAATTTGTGTTACAGCTGAAGTTAAAAATGCGTGAACACAGACCTGCCAATGTTTAATGTTAGAGGAACATCCTTTGAGCAGGAGGAGTTTGCATATAATGCCAAATGATGCAATTTGAAGCACAGTGTATCTCTAGTCACATTTAACATTGGGTTTGCTGGCTTTCTCCACAGAATCCTAATTAAGATGGAAAAGGTCAGTGATCTGACTCTGCTCTGTGATTTCATTTTGTATCTGTACTGTTGGCTTTTTTATCTTTCACGAAGAGCTTAGTTCCAAAGAATGCTTCCTCTTTGCCAAAATTCCACATGATCTTGCCTTCAAGGAAACACATCCATTTTTAGTAAACTAGGAGAGCCTTTTTTTTTTTTTTTTTTAAAAGAAGATTTCTGGTAACAGTGATTTTAGCCCATGAAATTTAAATGAAATACCTTAGTTTTTTCCGTTACCTCACTTACACTTTCTCTTTTGAGAAAAACACCAGCTAGAGCTGTGCTGCTGGGCAGCAAATATGTGAATATATAACCAGTCACTGGAATGCTTTTGTTATCTTCTGGGTTTTGTTATAACTGTGCCTCTCTTTCAGGTGTTTTGAGGAAGGTGATGGGCAGAGGATGGAATTGCTGAATTGTTTCATGCAGTGACTGCTGTACTCTGCCCTATTTCTGGTCACATTTAGGGTCTCCTTTTCTGGCATGGGAGAGGATTCCAGAGAAATTGAACAAAATAAAAAATGTCACTGAATCTTAGGAGTGCTGTGTTCTGCACTTTAGGAAATTTAAATACTTACTGAAGGTTTGGGGGGGACAAAGCAAGGATTGCAAATAAGCAAAAACAGTTCTTGAATTTGCAGAAACAGAATTCACACTGTATTTTGTCATATGTTGCTTCTGTCTAATTCTCTACTCAATTCTCAACTCTTGTTTTAGCTTAGTTGTTATTTTCCTACTGCTTGCCTGTTTTTATGGTCCTGGCCAGCCCTCCCTCTTGGCTCCCCCCTTTGGGCACATGAAATCACAGATGCTGTGTACAAGACAGCATTCTCTCGGCCATCATGAATAAAAATGCTCTAAACTTATTAACCAAACTTGTAACTGGTTAGACCCATTTTTGAATGATTTAAGAGACTATACTGCAGCATCAAAATTCAGCTGATTTAATCTGTTTCCCACTGAATGTCTACTGCTAAATAGAAATGCCAAGTTTTAAAAATCACTGTAGATTGAGAGAAGTCTGGAAAAACCTATTCATTGGTGCTAACTAGCTTTGGTGTCTCTTTCCTATCACACTCTGAGCTCATTTGTTGCTTAAAAAAATGTATTTTCATTTCTTCATGCCTGGTGTTATTTTTGCAGGGAGTTGTTTCTGTAGCAATACTAAATCATAGTTCAGAGCATGTGAAGTTCTTGACTAATTCATGCCTTATGGTCTGCACAATATGTAAAAAATAGTTTTTAGATGTTCTTTGGTAAGGTAAAGTGAAACAAAAAGCAAATGAGAATTCTCATATTTGTGGTTAAACCCTTTCCAAAACAGAGTAGAAAGAAACTTTTTGTCACTTTTCTGCCAGAAAATAGGGCTCACTACTTGGGATGCCTGTTTCTCTATTAAAATGGGTAGAATTCAGACTGCCTTTGGCAGCACAGCTGTGTGAAAGAGGGATAAAGCTGTGAGCTGAAGGATGCTGCTATGTTGTGAGAGAAGTGGTGGAATTCAGAAACTTTTACACCTTATATCTAAACCAGTGTTGTAATAATTCTTCAAATAGATGGTTAAACATCCAGTCAATGTGAGAAATAAGTATTTTTTCTAAATTACTCTTGCTTGTTTCTTGTCTTCTCTGAAATAATTTGCATTTTTCTCTCTTTCTTGCATGGTAACATACAATTGTATTGTGAAACCTCATACCAAGTTGTGTGGATGGTAAATAATTCCAATGTGGCTAGCTGCACTTGATAGAAATATTTCAGGATACATGACTTATGTTGGGACAGTATGATTGAAAACCTCTCTTCTCCTGTTTTACAACAGTGTTGGCACACAGAGATCCCACTAGGAATGTCACAATTTTGGGCACCATTGTAGCACAGCACTAAAACTCTCCTTTACATCTGTTGCAGCTTTACAACTTGGAGGGGAGGGCCGGAGTCTGCTGTCATTTTCACTAAATCCTTAATTATAATTGAACTATAGAAGTAAAGCAGAAGGGACCTTAGGACATACTAGAGCTCTCTGGGAGATAGCTAGTGCAAAATTAACATCCATTGCATCAATTCTTAGAAGTGTATGCTGTGTTCTGCAGGATATATACAATTACTCTGTTGACTCCTTTGTCACCTACAGATTCTTAAGCAGGTTGTGATCAGTCCAATTAATTTGCTGCTTCCACTTAAGCTGCAGTTCAGTGAGTGCTTTAAAATGCCAAGAATAGACTCTTCCACCAAAGCAGGGATTCTTCTGCCTGCACCAACATTTTTCTCTGGATCTGGCATAGGGTTTGTGGGAGAGGTGATCAGAAAACCATTCTATTTCTGGTCAGTCTCTCTCACACTCTGGCAATGCAAAGCACCTGGGACAAGCTGTAGAGGCAGGAAAATTCTGCTTTGACAGTAGCAGGTAGCAGGATCCCTCACAATGATATTTCTTTGCGTTGATGCATTTATCTGATGTTTTATCTGGATTAGCAGATGGTCAGATCAGGATGTTTATAGAGCCTTAGCAATCTGTAAGTGCGTTTTCTTCACTCTTGGAAGAAAAGGGAAAAATGTTTTCTTTTTCACAAAAAGAAAAGTAGGGCAAAGATCTCAAACTGCTTTCTGTCATAAAATAATAAAACTATTCTAGATATGCAGTGCAAACTTATTGCTGACTTCTGTAATTTTGTAGTTTTAACTCCCACTATTAGAGCTGTCGGAAACATTCATTTAAAGTGTTGATTTTTAAAAATCAGGTTTGGACAAGTTGAAGCTGAGGTCATGTTTGAGCCTGATACCAGCTGGAAAGAAGCACTTGGTGTTTGTGTATTGGGGGGCCGGGGTAATTTTTAATGTATTTTTAAAATTTTTTATTGGTGAACAGACAAGGGGTTTTCTTATGTTCCCCATTAACTTTTTGTATTGGTGGATTTGAAGTTTCCATGACTTTCATGCTTTCTTACCTGTGTGCACTCTGCTGAACTTTATATCCATCACAGCTCCTGCTGCAGTCAGCTTTTGTCATACCTGGAGGTTGGGTAATGCTTCTATCAGAACTCGGAGCATGGCGTGTCAGGAAGTGGGGACTGTAGGTGTGTGTCTCTGGGAACTGCCCTTTGGAATTTATAAGCAGCAGCTTTACTTGACCTTTAAAGAAAAAAGAACCTTTTGCAGCTACCTTATCACAGTGCAGCTTGTGAAGGAGAGTAATGCCCATGGATATTTTGTGCCCATAGACTGCTGATTGGAACTGTCCAAGGAAAAGTATTGATTCTTCAAGTATAAATATTTGGTAGCTGTTTTGGTTAAACTTCTTTAACCAAAACAACCTTGCCAAGCAAGGAACTTAGTGAAGTTCTAAGGCAGCTTTACTGAATCTTTCTTTTTCCCTCCCTTCAGACTTGTCACGGAACAGACTGTCGGAGCTTCCAGCAGAAGCCTGCCACTTTGTCTCCCTCGAGACTCTTAATCTGTACCAGAACTGCATTCGATATATCCCAGAGGCTGTTTCGAACTTACAGTCACTAACATTTCTAAATATCAGGTAACAGTTGTCTTACCAATTTTGCTTTAGCATGAGGAAAGCTTTTGCACTCAGCCCAAACATACTCACTCCTTTGTGGCAGAGCATGGCCACTTATCAGAGCACCTGAAAGGGTGCCTCACATTGCTCCTCACTGAGTGCAAAAGCCTCTGATCAGCCTTGATACTTGATATTCAGAGTTTGTTCACACATAACTAGATAAAACAAGTAATGAAGAACAGCCTCATGGAACCACTTTTATAGTAATTACATTACAATTGATTTGATCATCTAAATGGAGTGTGCTTTTTGTATGTGTCTTTCATTGCATGAATATTTCTCATTAGACTTCTGATTATTTTGTTTTCTTTCTGTCCAAAAGTCGAAACCAGCTTTCAACATTGCCAGTACACCTCTGTAGGTTACCACTAAAAGTTTTGATAGCAAGTAATAATAAGCTGGTTTCAATACCTGAAGAAATTGGACAGCTCAGACAGCTGACAGAACTTGTGAGTATACACTTGATTTCCAACTACTACTGTTCTGCTCTTGGCCTAATCTCTGTCTGCCACAGTGTCTCTAACTGTGTTTACTTTTGTATGGAGGTGTTAGAAAATGGTTTAAATACTCGGGGATTTTAGAAGAATTTTATGTGAGGGAAAGATGCACTGGAGAGCAAATGATCCATGCCAATTCATATGTCTTCCCTATTCTAGAAAGGAAGGCCTGGTAGAATTGGAGTTCTTGCTATGTTTATTTCTGACAGAAAGCTTTTATGTAGTAAATTTGCTGTCTAATATACTATGGAATAATTTGAAATAAATTTCTACATCTGAATGCTTAGTCTTTTAAAGCTTTTATTTCCCTTTGTGTTTAAAATGAGAACAATGCTTCATGTCAGCAGTGAGACTGAATGAATATACAGATCTGAGGTGTTCTATAAATAGAACCTGTCTATAAACCTGTCTTATTTTCTCAGTCCCTAAATACACCTGCATATTTTAGTCAACAGAGACTTAGACAGTGGTAACTCATTCTTTGCTCTTCTTTGTAGGATGTGAGCTGTAATGAGATACAGACAATACCTCCACAGATTGGCAATTTGGAGTCCTTGCGAGACCTAAATGTCAGAAGAAATAATTTGGTGCGTTTACCTGAAGGTGAGAAAATGGCTGTCCACTATAACAGCAGAAACTTCAAACACTTCTCTGTTTTCAGTCCCTTTTTCTTCCTCTGAGAGCTAGAAGCAGCATGTTTTATGCTGAAAAGTATGTGTTTATGTGAAATACATGTTTTTGTACCCTTGCTTTTTCTTACCCTCTTTTAATCTTCTAAATTGTATGTTTGTTTTCTGTCTCCAGAGCTCGCTGAGTTGCCTTTGATTCGATTAGATTTCTCGTGCAATAAAATAACAACAATACCAGTTTGTTATAGGAACCTCAGACATCTTCAGACCATCATGTTAGAAAACAACCCTCTCCAGTCCCCCCCTGCACAGGTAAACTGCAGCTACAAAATCAGATGACTAGTTCAGCTAACAAGGACAGAACTAAGTTATAAATTGAAGGATTATATTACATATTTGTTATTTAAGAACAAGAGAACTTTAAATACATTCTATTGTCTACAAGTGTTAAATATGTAGCACAGCTTGAAAAATCCCTTTTCTTCTCCTTACTGTATTAATAGTCTCTGCTGTGGAATAGTACAAAAAATTTCACTAATGTTGGCTTGAATATTTCTGTTTTCAGCATAGGAGAGAGGAAACTCTGTTAGGCAGGACTAATTTTCTGTCAGTCAAGTGTCAGAATTTTGACTGAGGCCTCAGTGCTGCAGTTTGCTGATCCACTTTGCAGCAGAGTACTCAAATTGCCCTTTGAACTAGAAACTGCAATATTGTTAATGACTAATTTGATTTTCAGTGTGGGTATACGAACCCCTAAGTATTACAAGTTCTACTGTGAGCTGCTGCATCAGAGTCAAGAGGGGCACTTGCTGAAACTTGTAGTTTCAGTAGGGTTTTGCTTTCCTTGTGAAAGCAGAGACAGCTGTTACTGCCTTCATTGACTATAAATTTGAGCTGGCTTTGGCAGTCTGCCACTGCCATTCAAATATGGGCATGGGGGGGATGCATCTGTTCTGATGCCAAGAGTATAAATTCTAGTACTTGTAAATGCTCATGTCTTGTTTGCATGATGAAATTTCAGCATCCAGCTGACAGAATTGCCTGCAGACCAGGTGTACTTGGAGGACAGTTTCCATTTGTCTACTACAGGCATCCCGTGATGCTCCACTATAGCTGTTCCTCTAAAATGCAGTGATATTAGAATAAAAGATACATTGGTTGATGTAAATGTGCTCATTTATTATTATTCTCAGCTGCATCTTGAATGTCTGTAGTGTACTTTGAAAATATATTGTCAAATGATACTGACTTGATTTTTTTTAATTATTTTTTTAAAGATATGTATAAAAGGAAAAATTCATATATTTAAATACCTGAACATAGAAGCATGCAAGATAGCTCCAGACTTGCCTGATTATGATAGGAGACCCATGGGATTTGGATCATGGTAAGTTTTGCACAAGCCACATTCCCAGTTTTAATGGCATTCAGGAAGATTTTGTCAGTCCACCTTGACTTTATTAAAAAAAAAAAAAACAGATCAAGGATTCTTCTTTGGCAAGTGCATTAAGGAGGCTTTGAAAAATATTGTTTATGGTATTTCATGGTGCACTCTAGTAAGGTACCAGTGTGTGAGAAGTGGTTCAGGAGATCACCTGGGCAGTGAAATAGGAAAGGCAGTGTCAGAGCTGATATGCAGTAAAAAGAGATTAATAATAAACAATACAGGGGGTATGGTCCCGTGTTGTTAACATCTATGTTCAGTTTACAAGATCTTAATATTTTCCACGGACTTACTGAATAATATCCCAGCTGTGATTTTTAACCTTTTGTACAGAATTTTGTAACGGCTGTGCTCAAACCGCAGGTGTAAATGCTGATCTCCACCCTGTTAGTAAACTGTTATTTCTGGCAAGCTTTCACTTGGCACTGCTGCTTGGCATTGTAACACAAATATTGGAACAGTCAGCCATATCAGCTGCTAAATTAAGATGTCTAGCAAAAAGCAGGAGTTAAGATTTATTTCTGTTATGTGATACAGAAGAAAGGGAGTCAGTGAAGTATGAAACTGAATATATATAAAAATTACTTCAGTCATCTTTGAAGGTAGTAATAATGTGTGGAAGAGTAAGGTGCTGAAGGATGTACTGCTGCCTTAGCAGCAATAAAACACAAATCAGGGGGTTTCACAATAAATCATCATGGGTCAGATTTATGAAGAAGAATTTCCATGAGGTACTGACAGACTGATTCCTCATCAGCACTGAATGTCGTAAGTTACTGTTCTAGATGAGGTCAGCATATGAGCAAGTCAAGGGTTAATCAGTTTCCAGTACAAGGTGGTACATCTGGTTTCTGCATAATACTGAGGATACTGTGCTTTTCCTGGAAGGAAAAGGCTCTAAATGAGAAAATGTCATGATCTGTTTAGCTCTAACATAAGTTTGTTAATTTTTAAGAGAAATTCAAAATCAAGTGGGCTGTATGTTTTTCTGGTTAATTGTTGTCTGTAGTTGTATATTGCTTTGGAAATTTTCATAAATTGCTTTTGTGAAATGAGAAGAATTAATGTATTTTAATCATAGCTTGAAATTGTCAATGTAAAAACAAGGGCAGAACTAGTTGAGGATGCTTTCTCTAGAATTTTTACCAGACTCAGCAGTATGAAATGAGCTTCAACTGGCTTTGCCTTAGCTGTGTTTCTGTACCAAAGAGAAGATAAGAGTTAGTGGTAGAATTATTTGTTATTACTGTGCTGTTTAGGGCATTTAGTGTTGGAGGTAATACCTTCCATCTTCATGTAGCTATGGAAGAACTGTTGGTGAGCAGAGCACATATTAGAAGAAAATTGTGGAATGATCCTGTGAAAGAGAGAATCCTGAGTTAGTAAATTTTATGTAATTTGAGATGAAAGAAATAAAATCCTTCAGCTGTGATACAGTTAATATTTCCAGGCAAGGCACAAGAATTTTGTGTTTGTTGTCTTCAAAGGTGACCATTAGAAATATGGTATCAGTCAGTCCATCTAGACTTGTTGCTGGTTTATCTGATCACCTTGGTGTAATGCCATGCAGGTTGAGTGGTAGAAACTCTTAAAGTTTAGGGACATTCGTTTCATGCTGTCAGTTCACATTGCTTCAAACATTTTTAATAGCAAGGCTGTTGGTACTGCTAATAAAACAAGATTCTCTGAAACATCATGGCAGTAAGTGGGTTGGAGGTTCTAGCACAGCTAATTGCTTGTTTTAGCCTTGTCAAATGATATCAAACTGTTTAACCAGAGTGAATCCCTGTATGCTTCAGTCCTTTTCTAAACATAAGCTATGTGAAATTTATCTTGTAGCAAGTTTTCTTCAGCTGCAACAAGCTAGTCTCATTTGCAGCAGTGAAACTCAGAGCAGCTCGGGTTGGTGCTGGAGGGAATGAGATTGAGAGGAGGCAGAGCTGTCAAAGCTGTGTAGCAGTTGCTGGCACATTGGCAAAGTCTGGAGCTAGAAGGTTTAAAATACCAAATACTCATGGGTGGACCAGTGTAGTGAATATTTTGGGACTTGGGCAACTGTTCTTGCTTACAGGAGGTAAAGATACAGGTTTTAGTGTGACGTGGAAATGGCAGCAGGTACTGTCTTTCTTTGTTGGTCTTAGCAGGCGTTTGGCTTCTCATCCTTTGATTTCGAGCCTTACGCAGCTTCCTGTAAGCTGTAGTTGCCCCAGAATGCTCTGATCTGTCCAAATGCCTAATGGTTGTTCCTTGTGGCTTGTTGGTCAGGGAGGAATAAAAATCTTAAGTCTCAGCTGATTTTAGGATGGCTGCTGTATGATTATAAATGTGTGAAGTGTGTAGCATTGGATAGGTGGGTTTAGTTGTGAGAGCTGGGAAGACAGATAGTGGCTTTCTTGTTAAAAAGGAGAAGTCCTGGACAGTGTTTATGTATTTTTGAGCTTCCAGCTAACTTTAGTGTTAGATGTAAAGCTTTTCAAATTCTCCAATTGAAAAGGGAGGCTAAGAGAAAATTTGTATCAAAACACTTCCTCATTTTTGAGCTCCTTAATTTGCAGTAACTGTTCAATTTACAACAGGGTGCTCAGGAGATGCTGAAAATATTGATTAATTTAAAACGGAATTCTACTGCAGATGGATTTTTCTTTGACCCATGTTTTAAAAATATATGTAAGTTCTATGAACTGTTAGTATAATCATGGTTCTATTGTCAGTTATTCAAATTAGTAGCTCTTTAACTACATTAGGTGACTTTATACTCATTCTTTTTTCTTCCCACCCAGAAGAGGGAGTCAGTTTTTTCTTTGGCTTTTTTTCTTTCTGATGGTTTATTATCCAGATCATCTTTCTGCTCAAATACAGGGCTGTAAAAGTGGAACTCCTCTGAGTTAATCAAAACTCCATGCAGATGCAAGAGTTTGTCTTTTAGTCTACATCTGCATAGAAGCAGATGCATAAGCTTAATGTGTCTCATCTGTAGCCTCCATCCCTCCTGGTACTTCTTTGCTATTTCATGTCTATCTGAAAACTAAACCAGGCCTTGAGAGTAGTCTGTCAGTCTTCTATTAAGATAATAACATTAATACTAATAATAATGATAATAATTTGAAAATAAGTATTTCCTGAAAGTGGAATTTCAGAGGGAGCAGCAACTTGACAGCAACGCTAGTGAGAAAATGACCTGCAATTTAGTTAAGATGGGGTGATGCAATTAGCTTCCTGAAATTCATTCTTCCTTGTGCATTATGTAGTAATTACTGCTGCAGTTCTCCCTGGGGCATCGAGTGCCAATAGGACAGTTGAGCCATTGTGAAATGCCATCTGCAGTGGATCAGACAAGTCCCATTGTCTCTTTTACTGTAGCTATCTGCAGCAGTTGCCAGAGTTGACATCTGTGATGGCTGTACTGCTGAATTACGTAGTTTCTAAGCCCAGAAGTTTAAAGAACTGTATGCCTGTTTGGTTATATGTACTGTAACACTGGGCACATTTCTAATGCCTTTGTCTAGACATGTCCTTGACAAAGCTCTGTAAATGAAAATTGTGCTTCTACAGTTATTACATTATGATGTATCTGAAACACTGTTCAGCTTACTGCAGTTTCTTAATGTAATTATGACACAAGACATTTATGTAATACATGCTGCGTACTTTTGAGTAGAGATAGTATATTCTGTATTTTTAGAGATTTTGTACATATTTATGCTTATTTATATAAAAGTTTGTTTGACATTGGTTTTCAACCAAAAGATATGAGTAGTAGAAAATGAAAGTTTGACTTGCTAAGCAGAGATATATGAGACCAGTTTGCTTTGTCATAATTTCTCTTTGGGAAATGTTTGAAGAGTGGATCTATCCTTTGAATCAGCTTAGCTCTGAAGGCCAGGCAGTGGCAGGTGACAGCTGACTGACAAGGATGGTGAGCTGTCAGCACGTGTCTCCTCTCTATTGTAGCGAGTGCAGTGTGAGGTTTTCAGACATGCTGAGCTTGTGAACAAGCTGCAAGTGTGCTTGGTGGCTTATTCTGCTGTTCTTCTGTAATGGCTGAGAGGCTTTTGGTGGTTTTTATATCACAGTAACTGAAACTGTGTGTTTGACAGCCATGAGGAGCTCTATTCCAGTCGTCCATATGGAGCACTCGATTCTGGCTTCAATAGTGTGGACAGCGGAGACAAAAGATGGTCAGGGAATGAAGTAAGTGTTGCAGCTTTATTTTTGCTGAGTGCAGTATTGTACAGTAAAGATAACTAAATGTATGCATCTGGAAGCACATTCCATAGGTAACTTGTGTGCTGGTGTGCAAATTGCCTTGAGCCAATATTACTTGTTTTATTGGAGAAAAAGCAAGGTTCATTTTAAATGGGACAGACCCCAGGTTGGAAGTATTAACAGAAATGTATAAAACAGTGCATGAGAGGTTAATTTACTGGAGCATAAAAAATGAGAAAAATAGCGTTCCTCATTTTAAAAACTTTGTAACAGTATCAAATTACAATGCTGAGTCAACTGTAATTATTCATGAAAAGTTGATTCAGTAAAATAAATCTGAACATGAAAATTCAGCTTTGGAAATCAGCTGCAAATTTGCCTTCTTCCTGTGTTTAAAACGCTAAAATCTGTTTGCTATTTACAAGCAGGAAAATAGTATCTCTTAGCAAAAAGATTGTCAATTATTATTGCCAGGAAGAAGTTCCCTTTTCCTCTTGGAGCAACTAGAAAATAGCCAAGACCTAAAGTCACAATGAGCTATACTCCACACTTTGACTCCTAGCTTGATTTTAGAGAAGGTGCTAGGATTTTCCATCCTGGGATATTTTCAGTCATGTGCAGGTACTGCAATCAAAACTGTAGGCAACTGATTTCTAAAGAAAGCTCAACTATATGTTTTTTAAAAACAATACATTATAGCTTTCTTTTGCTTTAAATTAGTGTTTCGTGGCTGTAAAACAGGGCAATTGAAGTACAAATCAAGAAGTAGTAGATTACAAAATTATGTTTCTGAAGAAAAATGTTTCCAGATTTCACTGTTTGTTTTCCAAAGCCAACAGATGAGTTCTCAGATCTCCCATTACGGGTGGCAGAGTTCACCAAAGAGCAGAGACTGAGAAGAGAGAGTCAGTACCAAGAAAACAGAGGGAGTGCAGTTGTAATTAATGGTGGAGGTAAGTAGTGACCTTTGGCTAACTGTATTTATTGTCATCATTATTAAAGTTCCAGAATGTTTCCAACAGATAGTAGCTTGTTTAAAGAGGAAAAAAAAAAAACCCAGAAAGGTCTAGGTGGAATTACAAAAACTGCATTGTGAAAACTGTAAAAATACTGTTGTTTTAAGGATGTTAAAGGCAAAGTCAAATAGCAGCAGAATTGGTATTTTCTTGAAAACTTTTGTCAGCTTTTGCCTATGTCCTATGTTAAAGTCTCAACTACTTCAAATGGTATTTTGGAATATTGAATTTCAGTGCATGGAGTTCTGCTTTTTGAGCTTCTGGGGGAAATTTACTGCAGTAGTAAATTGTCAGTACCCTGTGCCGACTGCTGTCAGAACAGGATGAACAATTTTGTCAGGGAATTTTATATTTCCAACTGGTGTCTCATTCCAGTTTTAGATATTAATCCAAACTTTAACATCATCCAGGAGGGGCTGGTGGTTGTGAGTAGCAGTGCTTTGTTGTGCTTTCTCATTTGGTGTTGTGCAGTCTCACAGGATCACCTTCATAGTTGTTCAAGAGGTGATCATGCTTTCCATGTTTCTTGATCTCCAGTCCTCTTCATTTTAACTTCCAGAAATCTGCTTTTACCAGTGTCTCCTTTTGTTTATATGCCTTAATTTTAACAGTATTTCAGGTTTGTTTTTCCAATCATTCCTTCTTCTCCATTGCTCTGCAGTACTTATTATTAGATCTTATCTGCATATACTTTGATTCTTCTTCTTTGTCAGCTGCTCCCTGTTTTTCATTTTCCCTGATGGCTACAGTTCATTTTTTCAAGTGTTGCTCTTCCCAGTTACATCTAACGTCCTATGCCTAGCTCCCAGTTTTTCTTCTCTCTTCCCTCCTCTTCCCATCTTTATATTTTGCTATCTTCTTTTCTTGGTCTTAGTCCTTTGTGCCACAATTTTTTGTTTTCTTTGTCACCTTCTAGAAATATCTGAAACTTTTTAGTTAACTCACACTCTTTCACACATTAATGGGGAAAAAATTCAGTTCAAACAGTTAAATTCTGGCAGTTAGAAGAGTTGAAGACATGGTGACATGGGGAGTGTTGGGCCTTCTTAATAACAGGTGGTGCTGCCAGCTCTGCCTCCAAAACTAACTTTATTTTGTTCTTTGGCTTTTGCACACCAGGGATTTCAAAAAGCCTAGCAGACTTTTAAGCTGGAGCACAATCAGTTCATGAGTAGGTGTATCTGCGAGGGGCACAAACCATAGCATGTGGCTGTCAGAGACCCAGATGCACTGCAGTTTTGTGTTCTTAACACAGCTACTAAAATCTTTCACCTTTTTCTGTATTATTGTTGTTATTATCATCATCATTATTTAGTAAGCAAGCCTGGAAAGAAGAGAAGTTGGGGGTTTTTTGGTTTTTTTTTAAGATTTGAAACTGAGATGGAAATGTAATGAAGCCACAGTATATAGGAATGTAGTTTTGGATGGTTGTAGTAGCAGAGGGGGTGGCTTTGGCAGTAACAGTTGCTAGATTGTGTGGTGAGGCAAAGAGAAGTCTGTTTTAGACAAGCAGGAAAGGGGCGGGGGAGTAAAGAAGAATGTCTGCAAGAGTCTGGAGCAAGTTTGCGGAGAGTTTTAAGAAAAAAGAAAGCTCTAGTGCTCTGAAAGGGAACTTATACTTTCCTCTGCATCCCCAGTGTAATATTTTTCACCAGGGGCATTTGCTCAATGTCATGACTCTCAGAATCCCTGAGCAGAATGTGGAAGAGCAGTGACAAGTGAAAAAATTGCCCTACATAGTATCTCCCACACAAAGAAAAATCAATACCAGCCAAACTGTGCTGTTTCTTGCTGTCATTTCAGTAATTCCTAATTTTTTTCCATTCTTCTTTTAAAATAAAATTGCAGGTGCCTTATATTGTTTTAGAGGAATTTTGTTGTTTTCTGTAGTATTATTCATTATTTCCATGTACACTTCTTATATTTATTGTATTTGCATCCAGATAACTTAGACATGCTGCTCTCTATTTTGTTGTAGTAGTAACAGTAGTAGAAGGATGTGTCATGTGCATTCTGATTTTTCTGACAGAGAACCAAGAGAAATTATTCCAGAATATACACAGGTCATTGTACAGTCTTGATATTAGCTGGAATACTTTGATATATAGTTTTTTGTTTTGAAAAGGAAATCACAGTATTTACTTTTTCAGTCACTGCTAAAGTATTTGCAGCCAGCGGTATAAAACTACCTCCTTGATACACGTTCCTTGTTGCTTTATAAAAGGCATAAATTTTACAATTATTTCAAAATTTGTTGATGTAATGCTAGTGGTCCTGACAAAATCCAGAAGCTTTCAGGCTGAGCTTTCCCAGATGGCAGAAAAAGCAGGACCTTAGCTCCTGACCGTGCTGCATTGTTGGGTTTTGTCCTCTCTCATGGGTTATCTAATTGTGGGTGTTTTCTCTGTGTATGTTTGTCAAGTGGAACACGATCTCGATCAGATCGACTACATTGACAGCTGTGCCACGGAGGAGGAGGAGGAGGAGGTGAGGCAGCCCAAGTGCCAGGACTCAGACAGCCTCAGCTCCCAGTTCATGGCGTACATCGACCAGCGGCGCATCTCCAACGAGGTGGTGCTTCTCCTTGTGTTCATTCCGCTCACACACCCCAGCAAAGCCCTTGTGAAAACTCTTGCCTGTTAAGTCGTTTGGATGTTACACTTCTGGAGAGAGTCCTCAGAAACTGAACCTGTAGAAACAGATTTTTAGCCACATCATGTTTCTTTCTGTGTTCTGTCAGTCTTAATTAATACCTATGTACACAGTTACACAGGTCAGTGGCTCACTGTACAGACTACGTGAATAACTTGTCTGAAAAAATCTTTGTGGCTGCTCTGCTTCAACAGTAACTGTGGTGCTGTGATTCAGATGTGTCCTTTCAAAGTTCTGTGTGTTTTGAAGCAGAAGGATATTTTCTATTTGAAGAAAGAAAAAAAAAAAGTGGATCTTTAGCTTTTATGTAGGAGCTTGGTCCCTATCTTGTGAACTTTATATTATTGTGTTTAAAATCAGTCACACAGATATGAGAGATGCATTCATTTTGCAAAGCTCAGAAATTCAATATCAGATCACAGAAGCTGAAGCACAGACAGAAGAGCAAAACTTTTCTAGGTCAACTGTAGGCAATGCAACCCAAGGACTCCTTGCTGTAGATAGGGAAAAGGCATTGGTCAGCATCACAGCAGCTATTCCTTGGGGTCTATCTAGACATAAATACTAAATTGCTTTTAGCTGAAGGAGTAGTTTCTCTAAAAAGCCCATCCGAAATACTCTACTGTAGGAAGGCTGACTGCAATATAGCAGCATGCATGCAGGCTTAAGTGAAAATTGGCAAGTTAATCTTGAAAAGTTTCTGTTTTCTTTTGTTAATGGGTGTCAGTGGAAGTTTTTAAATAACATCAAAGGCAATATGTCTCTGTTCCCAATAGGATAAATTATTTCATTGCTCAAATTAAACCAAAAGTGTTCTTATTAATCCCATGTTTTGCTTTCTTAGTCCTTCTGGGACGTGTCTTTAGAATGCCATAACAGACCTTTATTCTGTATTTTTGAGAATCCAGTCTTCACTGCTCTACACTTGTAGAGTGTATTTACATTTCAACACAAACTTTATACCTACATGAACTTCTCTGCATGATTCTTAATAGAGGTTTTAATCGTCTAAAATTATCAGCATGCATATTTAATCTTGAAACTATTATTTATTTACATTGGAGAAAAAAGAGTGAACTTGCTTGGTTGGAAATGAACATCCCTGACTTGTGTTTTGGGCTTCGTTGTCAGGTGTTTTAAATACCAGTGGTTACAGATGTAGCTCTACAAAGAGATTGTTTGGCATTAATGTACAGTTTTCTGAATAAATTGCTAGCTTAGTATTTTGGTTTTTTTGCTTAGAGCTCACCAGTAAAGCCTGTATCCATCAGAGAATTTCAGAGAACGGAGGATACAAGACGACATTTACATCAAAACAGGTAAGAATTATTATGGCAACAACAATTTTATCTAAAATTTCATGATGAATGCAGAGCATGTATCTACTGAACATGTTTAGAAAATGGCATTGTTTCCTGTTGCTTTCCCAGAAGTGTGTATGGCATTTTTCTGATAAGTTATTGCTCCAGATTAGGAATTGGAATTCTAATAATGGCAGGGAGCAAAAGGCATAATTGTTCTATGCCAATACTTGACTTAAAATCAGTTGGTTAAAGAAATCTGCATAATTAAAGTGCATGTTTTTAAACTGATTTAATATTTGCTTTTTGTGATTTAATTTGTGCTTTGATTGAATAGCTGATTTAAGCTGTAGTACATAGAGGACAAAAGGGATAAAGGCACTTGCAGGAAGGATAGAGATACTATGGAGTATATGATGTGCCATGAGGACACATTCTTGGTTGACTCCTGCTGGTTTTGGTTTTGTTGGTATTATAATTATATCTCCCAATTATTGGAATGGGAGATTCATTTATTTTTAAAAGTACCTTTCTGGGCCATAATCATGAGCCTACATCAGCAGAAGGGATAGAATAGGAATCAATTTTGAAAACAAGTTGCTTAATTTGATGAAGTATGCCCATGCTCTTTAATGATTACTTTAATGATTATTGGAGAGAGTGCTTATCTGTAAAATAAAGGTCAGAATTGGACAGAGTATCTATGAGGGGTGGTTAGGTTTCTGAAAAGAGCTTTGGATGTCTAGTTAAAAAAATAAGCAAATAAAAGATAAAAAAGAAGCAAATTCTTGCAAATGAAAATTGCTAGAACCTTTATTATACTGTTGAAGCATTTCACTGTTCTGGGGAGTGAAAGTGAATTTGCAGGGACCCCACAGAAAACCAGCCCAGTTGTACTTGGAATGTTTGGGGGTGGGGGGGGAGTGGTGGAAAAGATAACTGCTAGTCCTAAGTATGTCATTACTTATGCTGTCAGTAGAAACCAATTTTTAATGGATTCTAAAATGGTATTGAAAGACAAATGAAACCAAGATTAGTGTATAAATTTTTCCAGAGTTTTGGCAACATTTTAATAGGCATTCTGAAATGTGCAGAAAATGTGCAGATACAGTAGCTGTACTGATACAAGGGGGTAGCTATTTCAGCATATGCCAGCAGTCCTCATCCTGTCCACAAGTCAGGTATAAAGTGATATAGCAATTCTGCCATGCTCTCCCCCAAAAAGGGGAGTGCTCTTGGTTTGAAAATTAGATTTTTTGCTTTTTTGCTTACTTATTTTTTTATTTGAACATTTGTGGTCAACATGGAAATAATTAAACTTCAGAAACACTGATTTCCGTGATAAATCTGCAGGAAATAGGAGAAGGCTGGTTAGCTGGGGAGAGCTGCTGTTTGCATAGACAGATGTTAATGATAAAGGAAGTTGTAGCTCAGTAAGCTATCCAGTGATTTCAAAATTTAACTTGAGGATAGCAGCAGGTCTCCATGCAGAAGCAGTTAATCAGCGATCTGAATGAATTGTAGCTTACTGTGCTGCAGCAGAGTGAAATTAAGGCACTAAAACGAGATCATGTTGTTATTGCCTTCAAAATCGTGTAAAAACAGCCATATGACCATGAGTAATTTTTTGTATTTTAGGCTTGTATTAGTCAAATATTTTATTTTGTGGCAACCACAAGCTGTAAAGTGCTTCCACAGTAATTCTGTGCAAATGCCTTGGCAGCCAGCCTCTTCTTTTTCTTTTTTTTTTTCTTTTGCATGCTGGAGCCATTAAAACTGAAAGTTGGACGTAACACAGACTTCATCTCAAGAGTACTTATATTAGTTGATTCAATTAAACAAATGCAGTTTATGCCTCTGGACAGACTGTGGTGCATTCCTGATGCAACAAAGCTGTGTGTACTCTGCTCTGAACACACTCCTTGGCACTGAGCTGAACCCAGTCCTGTCTGTTCAAAACAGCTCTAAGTAATGGGTTTGTCATGTGCTTCAGTGCTAATTAAAGTAACAGAAGAGACCTGTAACATCTGGGTCTTCCACATCTCATCTCTATGAGGAAAAGGCCCTAAGTGTGCACCCAGCCAGCTGGACTGACATTTTTTGGAAATGCATGGTGAAGTGTGTCTGTGTTCCATGGCTGCCCCAGGAGCGAAGGTCGCAGAGTTTAGGCTGTCAAGAGTAAGCTCCTTGATTTCCATCAACTTTGTTTCTAGGCAGCAACATGTCAGGGTACATGCTGTAGGCTGTGGACCTTGGGAATTGTTTCAGTGCTAACAGCTGCCTCCTGGCAAGGAACTGACTGCAAAATTTCTCTCTTATTGTTGATATGATGGATATGAGCCAGATGGGTTCTTGTTTACCTTGTGACTTTGAGGGCTTGGGTTACTGGCAGTCACCTGATTGGTGAGGTGAGCAGATTTGTGCTGAAAATACCAAAGGGTCCCGATGTTTAAAATAATTCTGTTCTTTTCAGAGCAGAATAAGGCCTGCAATAACCCAAATACTGTCTTAAAAGAGAGAATCCATCTTTGTGTATTTTGAAATCATTGTTAATTCAGCAAGTTACATTAAATTACAGACTGCAGTTGTGATCTGACTTGGTATCACAATGTGATTTCTTTAGTCCAAATTTCACTTTTGTGATTATCTGAAGCTAATTGTTTGGACATTTCTCTCACAAAAACAATTGTAACCTAGAGTAGAACTAATCTGACAGTAGTCTATATGCATCAGTGGCCAAATCCCCTTCCACCTGATGTCTTACCTGCAGGGATACAGATGAATTACGAAGACCTGAAACTCTAAATTTGATGCAGGACAGAGAGCATCAAGTACTAAGGAGTTATGTGGACAGGACAGAGAGGTAGGGAAAAAGAAATTGAGTGTTTCTGCTGATTCATTTTATTATTTTCCTCTCCTTCAAATAACCATACTATGCAGTTGTTCCTCTAAATGAGGATCATGTGATCGTTACTCTTGGATCATGGTTTCGTTACTCTTGGAGAATGTATATAAAGTACTGAGTATCTCAGTGTAGCAGGCCAAGTGTACAACCCCACCGGTACATCTTGTGCTGTAAAAAAATATTACAATTCAGGAGAAGAAATAGAAATTACTCACAAAATCTGTCATTCACAGTATTAAGTCATCATCACAGCTACATCACAGTAGACAGTTACTCTTCTGATTTCATCAGCTACTTGTGTGTCACTGACAATTCATGTATGCAAAATTTTTGGATTTAAGATTAAAAGTCTATTCACTCTCTGTTTTTGCATTTGTCAGACCCCTGCCTGATTCACCTTATTTTCTCTCGCTATCAAGTCACCACACCCAGGTAACACATAGAATTCGAATTTGAATGAGTTTGATGTAAAACCAAGCTGATGTTACCCACAAGGCGTGGGCTGTTCTCCATAACCCACCTGCAGCTCTGGCTTCACAGCCTGATGCCCTGTTTGATTGCAGGCGCCCAGCGCAGACTCCGAGCTGCACCGCCGGCACATCGAGCGCACCCGCCGGGAGGCCCAGCTGGCAGCCCTCCAGTACGAGGAGGAGAGGATGAGGACTAAGCAGATTCAGAGAGAAGCTGTCCTTGACTTTGTTAAGGTGCCTCCTTTCAGTACCTACTTCATACTTTATCTTTTCTAAATCCCTTAATTATAACTAATTGCCATGCTAATTACTGCTTGTATGTTACGCTCCTGGCACTTTATAAAGAATTTGGACAAATACCATTTAAATCCATTAAGTGTTGGTGCTGTAGCTTAACAAAGGCAAAGCTAGAACTGGGGAGAAAGATGGAAAATTTACCCAAAATGTGATTGTTGCAAAGAATTCTGATTTTTGCATATTTCACCTCATACTTTCAATTTTCATTTGCATAGATGTCATGGGATTGGTTTGAGAGAAAAGAGGCCTTTATCTGAGAAGGAATAGAGGCAGTTTAATTTTGAAGACCAATTTGGCAGGGAGAAAATAATCATACACACAAAAATATAATGCTGCCTGATCTATGGTGCTATTTTGTGATAATAAAATAAGTTAGTTCATGGATACAGACCTATAGTACATCAGGCACTCACTCTGAACACTGTGTCTTCACTGTCTCATCTTCTTCTTAACATGCCAATTTATTTATATGATAGCTGATTTAAATTTGTTTTACTGTTTGTTGCTCTGGTCACTTACCTGAATATTACCATCTCAAATTTAAGAAATGTTAAAGTTAATATTTATTTTGGGTTTAGAGTTGTCTGCAGAAAGGCAAAGCATGGTTTATTGCTTATATTTAATATATAAAGTTAGTTTAGAAAAAGGGTGTTCTTAGCTGCCTGTAACTAGGCTTTTCTTTAGCAACAGCTATTCTTAGGCCCCTGGCACTATTTTGTGCTAAAGCTGCTTATTAAAAATTCAGCTCAGTCTTTTAGTTAAAGATTAAACTTAAAGGATGCATGTTGTTCATTGATGAGTCTCCTGGTTTTTAGTTTGGGTTTGATTTTTGGGTATTTTTCTTCTGTTTCCTTTGTTGTTCATGACCACTTTATTCTCAGCAGTTAAATTCCTCCCCTGAGTTGTATTTTGGGTTTACTATGCATCTTTCATATCCATAATTTTAATTTTTTGTTTGTTTGAATGTGAAATAAAGACTGATTTTTTACTAGTATCAGGGAAGTTTCAGCTCAGTGAACCCAGTGCATGTTCTATTTAAAAAATTGAGACCTGTTTTCAAACACTTATAAGTTACGCTGCTTTGTTGTGAGCTTTTGTTTCTCTGTGGCATTATTTTAAGTTTTGTTTTTTCTTTTTCTGTGTAGCAAAAAGCCTCCTTAAGTCCTCAGAAACAAAGTCCAATGGATAGTGAGGTAAGAGTCCAATAAGAGCATTAGTAGGGATGTCAGCACTTAAATTCCTAGCTCTCTGTTAGAGTTATTTTCCTCATTGTGGAAAATACCTCAAAACTGGGTTATAGCATAGCTTTTTCACATGTTTTTAAGCCTTGGGTTGGTTTTTTTAATGTATTTTCTTGTGTTCGTGTAGTTTGCCTGTCCCAAGTGTGTTGTTTTATTGTTTTTTGTATGTTTTCCTATGTTCTCTGCAGAAAATACATTTCTTATTCTATTCTAACCTGCTCCTTGTGAGCACTACAGTTTATATTCTAACAGGAGTGTTCAGTCAAGTTACAGTGTTACAGTCATCCTTCACAAATCAGTTTTCTCACAGTTTCCTGTTATTAGATCACCAGTTGTCCCAGAAATATTAAGCTTTAGAATTTTGAGGGTTGTCAGAAAAATGAATAATTTTTTTCAAGTTTTTTTTTCTACTATAGTTTTGCAGTAATGTAGTATTTATAATGAAAACTAGGTAGTGTTAATCAGGTCAAAACTTTTAATATTATAACAAATATGACCGTTCTTTAGCAGCATTTTCCAACGAACTCTTTTTGTTAGAAAATTACCAAAACATGGGGTAATTGAAATAGTTTTTTTGCTGCTTTTTCTTCTTAATGTTTTTCTGTTCTTAATTTATTCTTTTAAAAGGCCCTTTGTTCTACCAGAGTCAGCACTGTGAATGCATAGTGTTCTGTATTTGCTTGACACAACACAGAAAGCAGAATAATTGATTCCTTAAGTAATACGACTGCACTGTAATTCCTGGGTCGTGAGGCTGTGTATTCCTACAGAGTTACAGACACTTCATGGATTGTTTTAAAGAGCCTCACAGTGCTATAAGCAAGCAGTACATGTTCCAAAATGTCTGTCTGTTCACATACCGTGTGTTTCTGACATTGTGTGTGTTTCTGACATTGCTCCATCTCTCCCACCTCCCAGTGTCCCTTTCCATCCAGAAGGTCTCAGCATACTGATGATAGTGCCTTGTTAGTGGTAAGATCCTGCACGTAATGGCCTTTTTCTGTGGCAGATTCTAGAGCATAGAAATGACAACATGTTATGATTGTCTCAGATTAGCCCAACTGTTTTAGAGCTAATCTAAATAGCATAAAACATGACCATCTCCTTTGAAAAGTAGCTTAGCTGTGGACTATGATGTTATGAATATGTTGACACTTTTGCTGTCATACATTTGCCAATAATACCATGATGTTTTGCACAAAATAATTAAAGCATATATTTTGTTTGAGAGCAGAAGAAAATTACTGATAGTAAAGAACAGTTTCTAAAATGAAAAATTCACCTCTAACTGTTCTAGTTTGATTTCTTCTCCATTTAGCTTGCTTCCTAATTGATGTGCTCTTCAGTGTCAAGGAAGCGATTTTACTGCTTAGTACAGCCTTCTGCTTTAACTTGTCTGTGTCCTGCACATGGGGGTTAGAAATACTTGGCACAAGAAAAAAGTGTTCTATTTATGAATGCTACAAATCATTAAATACTCCTCATACAGTTTTATTGTTTATTAGTGCAAGTGTCTTAAAAATAATCTATTTTAAACACTTATCAAAAATAAAAATAAGTGTGCACATATTTCATGTTTTATGCTATTTCTTCCTTTGTGGCATCTTAACAATGTAGCATAACTAAAAAATCTAATTAATGTCATAATCCATGTCTAGAAAATTTAAAATACACCTGATTTGTCTGCTGGTGCATGACTGCATGCCTAGAATTTATTTTCTTGATTTATGTGCTTCCATTATCTGCCTAAATTTTCTGTAGGCAGTGCTCTTGGTTAGAGTGTCTCTCTCCTGAATGTGGTTAAGGTATTTACTGTATCTTCGTTCAGACTTTTTGGGTTTTCTGCTTTTGTAAGACTACCACTTTTTGGGTGAGAAAGAAAGCTTAAAATGTTAGAGAGAAATTTAATTATCATGTGGCTAGAGAAATCACTATCAATGAGCATATTAAAATGTGCTTTCCTAGTTAGGCCCTAAAAAGCAGGAGAACGGTGGTAGTTTGGATTGAGATGATACTCTGTTGTCAGTGATTTTGTCTTTGGAACATATTTGAAGACACCTGTAGGAACCTGATTTCTATTTGATTTTGTGATCACATGACTTTTGTTGTAAACTAAGATACAGAATTTTCAGAAACTACATTGAAACTGGCTTCCATTGCTATTTGTTTCCTTTCTTCTCTTTAACCAAGTTGCATCCTTTTACTTCACAAAAAGAGTGACCAGGCTGGTAAGGAAGGACTGAAAGCTGTATTTTCTCTGTTCATTTTTCTTTTGGTTCCTCACATTTTTCAGCAGCACTAAATAATAGTGTCTGAAATGCTGATGTTTCTGATCTGTAGCTCTCTTCTGTGGTGGAAATCCACGCTCTGCCTAATGATCACATATGCCAGGGCAGCTGGTTCTGACAATTACTATAACTGAAACATTAGGCCCATACTGGCTCATGAATTTATACCATCTTTTGTTTACACAAATGTATTTTATATGGTAAAAACTTGTTCAACATCAAGGAAATGGTCACCAGTTTGCATTTTAAAAATGTAAGAGTTCACATTGCTTTTACCTTTTTATACTCTATTGCATTACATTTTCCCTATCCTTATGGGTTTGAAATTTAGCTAGGTCTAATTTCTGATGACATAAGGACAAGCTTTTAAAAGCACTAAATCTAATATGTAGTTAGAAAGCAAGTAAAAAGCAAATAAAATACAGCTTTTATTTTACTACTTTGCTCATCTGGCATTGTTACTGCTTTAATAAAAAATTTCAGTTGTGAATCTCCTTTTTAAAATCTTTGGTATTTCTTTTGGTCATCTTGTTGCTGTTGATAATCACTAATTAAAATTGTGTTCATGTTGCACAGGTTACTCTGACCATTTCCTTCTGTTTATAAACAATGTCAGGACAGTTGGTTTGAAGTCCCAGAATGATTGCCCATACCTTCTGTGAATGTTAATGTTTCCCTTTAGTTGTAGTTCCTCCTGCACCCCTGTGGTTTGGAGTCTGGCTGTAGAACTTCATTACACACTGTGGTGGATTTCTTTGGGTCAGCCTGTGATAGATAACCAGACTAAAATGTTGTTGAAGAAATGTAATCACTGGCCTCTCTGAAAAATAAAAGTTTTATGTTAGTCAGAACCTCTTGCTGTTCTGACAAAGATCGTTCCATCTGTTACAACGGAGATTACTTTTAGAGCTGGTATCAAGCTTTCAGACTTGACTAATGACTTGGCTTCAGCCTTCATTGCTTCTAAATCTCATTTTTCTCTAAATAGGTTCTTCTTTTCTCTTATACTGTCTCTTACAACATTGGTAGTGTCGAAGGGGGAAAAGAACCCCAAAACATCCTCTCTAACTGCTGCTCAGTTTCTCTGTTGTGAAGCCCACAAGGTACTTCAGAAGCATCAGGCAGCTGCTGTGACCTCATTCCTCTCACAACCTTTGTCATTGCTGCCTCATGTTCCCTTCCTTGTGTTGTTTTCTTGTTGTGGTCTCAAATGTGACCTGAGTCTGTCATATTACTGTTAGCACATAAATTTCTGAAACATTTGAAGTTAAGACTTTGTTTGAGTTAAGCACCAGAGTGTTACAAATAATAATGGTATGGGTAAAGTAAGCAGGACTTGGCTTATGCAGACTTGTACCCTGGAGTTTTCTGTCAGACTGTTGGCATTTGTTTGTGTATTCAAATGTTTAATAACCGAATTCTCTTAAAATATCCTTATTTGGCTCATGCAGAGTTCTGGTTGGGCTCTCCTTTGGCACTCCCTGTATCTGCAGTTGTTTCTGGCACAGGGAAATTTTTGTGACTTCAGTGTTAGACCTAAAGACTGCGTGCAGCATGTGCAGAGGGTGGTGTAAGTCTGAGCTGCAGCATCCTGGCTCCTTCAGTGTTGTGGCTGCCTTTTCTCACAGTCGTTCTTTGCATCACTTCTTCCTTTCTTCCCTCTCTTTCCTTACTGTCCCTGACAGAATGGCTTTGAGCCTCTCTCTGTGTTTGAGATTGACAATAACACCAATACCATTAAAAGGAGGCCAGGCACTCGCAAGCAGGTGAAGAGCATGCGGTGTGTTGGTGTTGTGATTGTCCCTCCCTGTGCTGTGCTGTGCTGTGTCCCCTTCCCTCTGCCCGCTGCTGGGTGGGTGCATAGTGACCGCTTCTTGTTAGTCTGTGCCAGGCGTGCCCTGCTCTTTTCATTCAGGAATAAGCAGATACAATGATGTTACAGACCATCTAGTTCTGGTTTATTTTAATGTTCTCATGTGCTAGCTAATGCGTTGTCGAAGTGAAGTGATATTTGAAACTCTTAAAAAATAAAAATAAAAAAACCACCATTTTGGTTCTGCCCTGCTCTGGAGCAAGAGGCAATCTTGAGGACCAGCTGTAAGTCTGTACAGGACCTAAAAACATTTGTGTTTAAGGCTTGCCCTGAGTGTAAACCTTCCCTTCTGGTCCTTCTGGCTGTGCTGTCCTGAAGTGGCAGAAAAGTTGCAAATGTTTTGAAAACTAACTCCCAAATGTTTTGAAAACTAACTCTTTCAGTACCTGTAGAGTTTCTCGGTGTCATTTGATGCTCTTTCCTGTGCTGAACTGTAACTTTGCTATTTGAATGCTGTTTCAGAAAGCACAGGGAGCCGTTCAGTCCTCAAATGTTAAAGTTCTGATAGTGCTTTCAGTGAGACATAGGATTTGGCCTTCTTGATCCACCTGTCAGTGGCAGATGGGCACAACTACAGCCCCTGTTCTTTAAACAGGAAAAGTTATTTATTTGGCTGGTTTTGATATTGGTCATAATTGAAATGGGACTGCACTTTATTTGTGGCAACACTGTAAATCCTGACACTGACATCTTCCACAAGAGTGAGATTCTACCCACAGAATCTCATCTACTTTGTGTGTAATCACAAGGACCAGTCGTTAGTGTTTGTGGCAGGTACAAAGTGTGTATTACTGAGCCTCTTGTACATGGTTTTCCCTGGTTTTTCAGACATGCATAACATCCTCAAAACACTAAAAAGAGAGCTATTTATTTTTAATGATGGCCTAGAATGGACTGTTGTAGGGTAAAATTTCTTTTTGTCTGATGGCATAGGTGTTACTAAAGAAGCTTTTGCCTCACTTGATATTCTTAATTCTGTTTTTAATGTTACTGTATTATATGTAAAAGAAGTACTATACCTCCCAGAAAGTTCAGGAGGGTAGGAAGTAACTAACTAAACTATAGTTCAGCAAGTGTTGCTTGATGTGTTGCTTGTTGAGTGTTTCTAATAATGTGATCGTGATCACCTCTTCATTTTTACTTCCACCTTTGTGTACGACCTGTCAGCTACTCACTAACTCTGCTACTGCCTTCTCTTTCTTTCTGCATTCAGTCACTCTCAGGGTTGAACCAAGAAAGCTGTGCTACTACCCTGCCTAGTGCCTCTGCCTTCAGTCCTGTCAAGGTATCTCTTGCTATTTTCATTCACCACTAGAGCCAACAAAAAAATCTCGGATCCACACATCAGTTTAAACAGGTGTTAGTCTGTCAGCATCTAATCAAAAGTTCAGGTAGGGTATGAACCTGATTCACCTGATTAAACTGTAGTATGTATTACCTCATCTTAGCTTTAGGCTGTGTCTGCAGGAGGCCTGATCTATAAAACATGGTAACTAGTCTGTGCTCAAGGGGTTCTTGGTTGTCTTTGATGTTGCTTTTTCTGTACAAGATCATTTACTCTTGATCAAGTTGAGTTCATCAAAAGTACACTTGTATTCTTTGCCTGTTTCTTTCTTTTCTATGGAAACTGCTGTGCTGAATTCATTCCTCACAAGAATCCATTAGTCTGTGCAAGCACTGTGATGAAACCACAGTGTGTTTCACTGGGGACAGATGTTCAGTAAGTAGCAGTTCTGCATTAGCAAAGGTGTCAAAGAGGAGTATCCTTGTCAGGGCTGCTGACATTGCCAATTCTGCATGTTGCTTAATACCTGGTTTTTGCTGTCCCCTTTGCAAAGTGTACCTCTCAGTTTGGGTTGGAAGGAAGAGTTAACAATGATCTGTCATTGCATAGTCAGTGCTGTTTCATCATTCTTTTTCCTAAGGAAAAAGAGCAGTTGTGTCATTTCTGTAAAAGAAAAAAACTTTGTCTCTGCAGAGATAAGACTTGGGAAACAACATACAGTGGTTTTTCTTATTTCTGGTTGTTTTTCTGAAACACATTTAGATGGATGGAGCTTTTCTTAAAACACAGCAAATTAAAATGTAGTCAAAGCTTTTCCAGGTTAGGACCATTCATATTCTTCTGCTTTTTTGTTCACAGAGTGATGACAGATCTACCATCTCCCCTGGCTCACCTACCGCTCAGACAGGTAACAGGGACAGGAAAAAAATTCTGAAAAATAAGATTAAAATGCCTGCTTGCTTATTTGTTCTATGAAGAAATGGGAGCATCTGTTCCCACCTCTGTCTGTGGCACTGCTGTGTGAGAGAATTTACCCAGTTACTTGGGTCTCCTTAGAAAAACACAAGGGAAGAGACAAAAGGGATGAACCATGTCCCTAGGCAGAGCACAGGGTTTGGCTGGTTTAGGCCTTCATAGAGGCTTTGGCACACAGATTCATTCAGCAAGAGTCAGAACAGTTGCTGGAATTGGTATGTGGAATGTGCTTTGCATGCAAGTGTCCTTGGAAGTGCCTTTTCCTGCTCTGCTTTTATCATGCATGGCTATAATTTATTTTGTCATCATTACATTAAATTTTTTTGTTTGTTCTTTTTAATTACCACATTGCTGTACCCATTTCCTATTTAAACGCTAACCATTTCCTTCTTCCTCCTTCCTTTCCTGTGCCTTTCCACATTTGTTTAGTCCACCTTTCCCCTCCATATCCTGGCCATGCAGCCCCGCCTTCCTATAGAAACCCTTCCCAGCGACCTGAGAGTTTCCTTTTCCGAACAGCTGTCAGGGATGGAGCCAAGAAAGGTAGGTTATATAGCTCAGAAATCAGCTAGTTTTGCTACGTTATATTGACATCTGCATTACCTGGGGTTTGCAGTGTTTTGTTACTTCAGGTCTTTATCATCAAACTACTTTCATAATTCCATTTGTAGAGAGATGACATCAGATATGTTGTGAACAAACAAGAGTTTTATTTGGAACTGCCCAATATTCTTTTGTCATACCTGTACAAGTGTAAGAATTTGCTCATCTTGGTCTGGACTTACACCTTTGCTGCACAAACCTTCAACAACTTGATAATTTTTGCATTACCCAGTAGCCTGTAACAGAATTGCAATTTCTGGAGAAAGACAGAACCGTTTCAACTTACTGCATGTGGCAGAACTTTGTCGACATTTGTGCATGACTGTTATCCAACAGAAAGATCAGAATCTAAACAGTAAGGGACTTGTGTTGACATCTCATTTAGGTTGGTAGACCATTAGTTTGATCAATAATCAAAGGTAAGAAAGAGATTTGTGAAAAGGAATGTAATGTTCCCATTCTAGAACTTTGTGTGCAGTAGCAAACAACACAAAGCTAAACTGTGCTTAGTTATTTTCTTTCCTTCATGCTGCTGTTTTAGCTGTTGCTTCATCCTCTACCTGTGCCTTGTCTCCTGCTAATGATTCTGCAGACCCTCGAGTGAGACAAAACTCCAAGCAGCGGGAGGAGGAGCTGGAGCTGATTGAGCAGCTACGCAAGGTCAGTGCTGCCAGGAGCCGGAACGTGAACATAGCAGGAAATGCGCTTTGTGACCCTGCTAAATCTGCCTTTGTCTTACGGACCAGTTTCACTGAACCAATATGGGGCACAGTTGACCAAAATGAAATGTGTGGTACAGTCTGTGCACTTCTTTCAGATGGGTGCAGTGGTGTTCACTTGGCTGTTTGTGGTAGGTAAAGTCAGCTTCAAATTCTGTGTAATAAACTATGTCAAGTCCTGCTCTTAAATGTCCAGTGAGCTCTGATTTTATGTGTGCTTCCCTTCTTCCTTATCAGCTTTCACACTTGTAAGGAGCTCCCTTGGAAAGTTGCCTTTACTGTCTCCTTTTGATGTCTTTTTTTAAATTCTTTTTTGCTATAAAGCTGACAGATGAGCAGATGGAGTGCAGAGACTGCTGCCAGTCATGCTGCCATCATGGTTTCCTCATGTGCTCTAGATCTGTCTGTTGATTCTTGCCTTATCCTTAGTTAAGTGCAGAACACTTGAACCACAAATGTTTCTAATATTTATGCGTTTTGTCTGCCCAGGGGCACCACACTCCTGGTTTGTGCCCAGGTACAATGACAATAAACAGGAATATTGGAAATGCCACATGGCATTAAGGTACTGCTCTGCTTTGCCCTAGACTTGTTTCTGCAGAGCATGAAGGGATTTCTTGAGGTGCTGTAATTAGTCGTTGAATTTTCCCAATAAATAGGAATATACTTACTGAAGCTAATCTTAAAAGCCATAAGCATCCCAGATAGAGAAAATTTCCTCTCTTTGGGGGAAGTTTTGGACTAAGGACAGTCTCCTTTCTTTAAAGCAGAAAAGTAACTACCTTAGATAAAACTTGGTGGTGTTTGCAGACCCTCTCTTATGTTATCTCACATTGCGTTCTGTGTAGTCTGTCTCTTGTTCTGCTCCCCAGGTAAACTTAATTTTTTCTAATACTTAAATTTTGTACAGTATTACAAGTTGATGATATTCACACAGCATTTTAAACGAGTTTGAAAGTCTAAATTGAATTTTTATTCATTCTCTTAAACAAATGCTAACTGCCTTTTTAAAGGACTGCTTATACCAAATAGTTCAGTTTTTATTTTAAAGGCAAAAATATTGTTTTGACTTTTGTTAATTGTGTTGTCCTTCAACCCACAAGGACAATTATTTTCACTTCCCTTGGCAGAACCATTCTCTGAGAATATGTACGGTTAAGAATACTGTTCCTAGAGCCTGATTTCCATTATTTGTTAGTAATGGTGTATTAGTCTGCTGTGCTGTACAATGAGAGCTGTCCTTCGTTGAACTCAGTTGCTCCCAGACTGTGGCCAGCCCTGGCCACAGTAATGCGCAGGGCTTTCCTTGGGGTTATTCAGCAGGCTGGTTGGCAATGCCGTGAGGACAGACAGAGTTGTAATGCAGGAACTGTGCCTCGTACGAACTGTGCAGCGGGAGGAGCGCAGCTCTGAGCTGCCCGTGTGTCCCTGTTGGCTTCCCACAGAACATCGAGTCGCGGTTGAAGGTGTCACTGCCCAGCGACCTCGGCGCGGCTCTCACCGACGGCGTCGTCCTGTGCCACCTGGCCAACCACGTGCGGCCCCGCTCTGTCCCCAGCATCCACGTGCCCTCACCTGCTGTTGTAAGTGTGCAACAGTGACACTACTTTATATGGCTGTCCAAAGTGATATCCTACAAAGTCCTGTAATCCAGACAGACATTAAACTCTCACTAAATTCTTCTCAGTGAATGTACATGACAAAAAATAACCATCTGTGCTGTTGAAAAAAGGTCTGTAGTGTCACTGAATAAAATTCTGTTTGGGTTTGTTTCATGTGAAGAAAGTTACTTCTAACAGCTTGTAAGCAAATGTTTCATGTGCTCCCTAAACACATTAACTTCAAAACTAGTAAAATATGAGACAGTTCAGCATGAAAACTAAAACAGGATATTTTAAAAGATCAAAATGACTGAGAAGTTCAGGAAAACATAGTAGGGAATTAGAGCAAGTACGATTCCACTACACAAGACAGTGAAACCAGGCAGAGACCAAGTTGAGTCCTGTGTCCGCAGCACTACAAATTCCTCTGCTTAGGAATTTTAGGAGAACACACTCAAGATACTTGGAGAGCAGCATCTCCTGGAGCAAAATGAATCCTGTCATACCTTTGTGATAACAGGAAAAAAAGGTGGCTGTGTCAGGGGACTGTTGAGAGCAGGGAAGTATTGCAGTCTATTTTGTAGGGAAAGCACAGAATTAGAGAAAGGCCAAAATCTGTGAGATACCATATTTATCCAGTTTGTGGAAGTCAGAAAGTTCAGTGAAAATATTTAGGATCAGCTACTTGAAAGTAACATGGACAGGCAGATTGTTTGTTGTGCACCTTTAAATTGTATGAATAAGGAAAAAAATCAGAGATTGTTCCTTGGGGAAGAAGTTGAAACATACATGTTCTCTTGACGTGCCCTTCTTTCGGAGCGAGTCTTCATGTTGATTGGAATCTGAAGTGGCACTTCCAGGGCTGCCAAGTGTGTCATTGTGTCCCTGGGACTCAATGTGACCAGACAGATGGCCCCGTCATTTTGAGAATGACTGAACTGGACACCAACATTTTAGGCAGGTTATGGGATCATTCCAAGCAAAGGCAGGGAGCCACTGCTCAGGAGACTTGCATCAGTGAGATCTTTTCAATGGCCTGGTTTGATGTGCAACTGAGTGTTCTGTGTTAGGAATTAAATTGTGGCTTTGTCATGTGAATCCCAAGGAAGAGGCAGCCTGGAGTCGCGTGGCTCCAGGAGCAGAAGAGGCATCACGTCATGCCCCAGGCACAGTGGGATCTTTGTACTCCTCTGGGAGAAAGGAGCCAGTGCTGGCCTTTAACCTGCTTCCTTGGTGGGGAACACAGCACATGAAGGGGACAGAAGAAACCCCATCACTTACAGAAGTGTTGAGCACCTGGAGGCTGCTGCCTGCTGCTCCAAGGCATCTTCATAGGAGCAGGGAACTTGAACCAGTGTCTGGTTCAAGTGTCTCTTGAACCAGAAGAGAATAAGCTTTGAGAGCAGGAACAAGACAGAGCCTGTGCTGTGGTATGTCTGAAGAGGTGTGAAAACTGACTGCAGAAAAAAACCTCAGTTGAAAAAATGCCAGGGAGTGCAATTCAAACAGGGAACAGTTTAATTACTTAAACACATCTACAAGAGTCTGACAAGCAGCAAGCTTCACTTCCAGTTTTCTGACATTATTTTTTTTATTTCATCTAGCCTTTATTTTTTTACCTCTTTGTTAATTGAAGTATGGTTTGATATTTATATAGTTTTGCAATGTAGTAATCCAAAACAGACTCTAGATTGCTTTATGTCATGAAATTGCTCTGAAATCACAGTATGGAAGCTATGGATGTGCATTTCATCAAAAGACATTTTTAAGATTATTATACTATAGTCACTAAAAGTGTTAGCCAGTTTTTTATAACACTGTGTATATAAATACCGTAGGGCTTAGAATTGTCCTTTTTTTAAAATCATCCAGCATTCATAACTTAGCTTTTCATAAAACAGCTTTGAAAACTGGGATGGTTTTCTAAGAAAAGCAAACTTCAGCAAAGCCTGCTGTGAATTAGACGAGCTTATGTCAGCGCAGTGTTTTTGGCAAAGAGATTTATTAAGAGTTTTATTTAAAATTTAAAATCTTTTAAAACCTTGCCAGTTAAGAACACTGTATGCCTTTGCTTCTTTGCAGCCTAAACTTACTATGGCAAAATGCAGACGAAACGTGGAGAATTTCTTGGAAGCTTGCAGAAGGATTGGAGTGCCTCAGGTATGTATTTCTGATGTCCTGATATAATGTTTCAGATGCAGTTTTGCTTGGTGCTTCAGAAAATAAAACATTATTTGGAATATCAGATTAAAACAAAATGTAAAAGTTTAAAAGGTTCAGGTATAAGCTGTCCTGCAGTATAGATCAGACTTACCTTGCATGGTCTTTCAGAGCAAAATTAAGCCAGGTACAGTTTATCAGAGTGTAGTACATAGATTTTATATTTCAGTATAGATTCACTTAAATACTGTACATCAAATTCATAGTAGCTGGTGGACTTTGAGTCTGCCTTTAAAACTGGCAGGTTCTATAAAACCAGTTGCCTTTTCTCAATATTAGGTATGTGACAGCTTAAAAGTGGGATAAAACCTGGATGATGGTTTGCATGTTTTATTTTTTATCCCAAAGCTTTTCATGTTCCTTCCCAATAATTCTCTTACATAAATGTCTTTACTGTCTTACCAACAAGTCACAGAATTATTGGCCTTTCTCTGATGGTAGCTCTCTTTGCATAGTTCCTACTTCTTTTGTTATGTACCAATGGTAGAAGTCTGTCTTCCTTGTCCCCTTTTGAAACTTGTAAGATCTAGGAGATGGACACATCATAAATAGTCCATTTTAACCTGTTGGTCCCAGTTACCCTGTTTATGCTATCCTGTCCTTTGCACTTTGTCTTATTCAGCAGCTCTCTCAGTACAAATAGTTTTAATATATTATATTTTTCCTAATTTCCCTTCCAGTGCACTAATTGATTTGGGTTTTTACATTGCTGAGCATTGGTGTTTCTGTTGTAGGTGCTGGTTTCTTTTGTATCGAGAGAGGGAGAAGTAGACCCCATTACTCATTTCCCAACTACATCTAAAGGCAGTTCTTGAGTCAGTCATGCAGGAATTTCTGGTGTTTTCAGATCACTTGCAGACATTTGAGCCACTGGGATTTTAAGATGACTTATTTATTGAGCTGCCTGGCAGTTTCACATGGCTCAGTGGTGAATTGTGTTAGAAAGAGCTAGGGAGTTGTAAGTGATCCTTAATGCTGGGAGATCCTGCACTGCTTTGTCCCCTAAAAACCTTTGGACTTTCAATCCCAGCAGAACTGCACAATATAAATTCATCTGGGGCATTGTGCAATTCCATCCCAGCCCTTCCCTATTTATAGCTCCCTCAAGTATGAAGATACAATTTTTATGGGATTGCAGTACAAAGAAGATCACTGGAATGACCCACAATCAAAACCAAACAAACAAAAAGGCCGATCAAGACAAAGTCCCCTGTAAACCCAAGCTGCTCCATCTGCTACCCCTACTGTGTAGGGCCCTCCTGTTTTTCTCATATATCTTGTTTTAATGTGAAAGAGTTCAAGGGGGTTCTCTCTGCGAAAACTTAGTAAAATACCCGCCCTGAACTCCAAAGCTGCTCTCACATGTCTGCATTACATCTCTGCTGAGATGTGAACATAAGATACCTGTATGTAAGAATGGCATGGCAGCCTGGTGTGTTTTTCCTGAAAAGTTGCCTGCAGGTTTTTCATTTCATTTCCATTCTAATTACAAAAATAATAGGCTTTCTGAAAGCATGGATCCATGTAGGAATACTTGCCTTTTAAGGGGAAGGCTACTTTCAGAAAGGGCTAATTACAGGCACCACAGCAGAGCAGCAATTTCCATAGGACTTTGGTGGTTTTAAAGCCCTTGGATCAAAGGAAACCCTCAGCTGAACAGGTTGATCCATGCATCTAGATTTCACTGATTATTAGCAGTTACCTGTGGGAAAGGGAGACGAGAGCACACAATGGGAATAGTTACAGAACTCTTAAACTCTAATTAGTAATAGATATTTCTGTAGGATGCTGCATTCAAGCATCAGTTACACATAAATTATTCCTTGTCCTGCTGTTTTCATTAAGTTACATGTGGAGGCTGAACTTTGGTGAGTACTCAATGCCAGCAGCATCTCAGATACCTGTAACCTCTTCACTTCAGGAGAAAAATGGGTTTCACTAAGGCTTGTGTAAACTGCTGTTTTTAACAACAAGGAATAATTACATGTTGGAGCTGGACAGGTGACAGGCACCTCACTGGACACTAAACACTGACATTGAGTTCTTTGCAATGGGAGTCTTGCAGATTTCTATGTGAGAATTAACCAGCTGTGATGTGCTTCTCAAATGTGTAGGTTGTATCTGAGATGTCTGATAACTGCTTCGTGGATGTTGCTATGGCTAACTGACTGACCTTTTTTTTCTGTCTGTTTTCCCTTCCTGCTCACACACTCTGGACAGGACAATCTTTGTTCCCCTTCTGACATTCTCCAGCTAAACCTCAGCGTTAAAAGAACAGTTGAGACTCTTCTTTCCCTGGGGACAGATTCAGAAGAATCCAGTCTTGTGTCCCTTTCCGTTCAGCTCTGGGGCTTTGTGGTGTTTTACTGTACTCTAATGCTAACGCTCTGTATGTTCTATCGCTGGGTCTTTTTCCTCTAGTGAAGGATAGTGGTTGCTGCTTCCTCCCTCCATCACTCCAGTGCTTGGGAACAGACTCTGGGCTTTGCCAAGACTGTGTGTATGAAGTGCTTTGTTTCCCATGGATGGGACAGAGGTGACAAATACAATGTACAAACACGTTGGTGCACCCACACCACCATCCATGACCCAATTCCCGTTTGTATTTGCTGTGCCACGTTGGGCAGATGAAATGCTTTCCAAGGGAGGAGGTGCTGTCCCTGGGCTCCAGCGAGGGCTCGGGTCAGGACACGTGGTGCATGCTGTAGTCTGCTGACCAGTGGTGCAGTGAAAACTGCAGTGTCAGTTTGTGCCTCTGTTCCCCCATCTGTGTAATGGGAAATGCAACCACTTTGGTAAATTGCTTGAGGATTATCTGATGAAAAATGTTAAACAATGTGAAGTATTCTTTTTAATGTCAATGTTCTTGATGTGATCTCACAGTCTTAGGAGACATGGTCTGGTGTCATCCACAGAACTTTCTAACTGGTTTTGTTTTTTACCCCCAGTCCTTTATCCTGCTTCTAAGAGCATTTGATTTCTCAAATTTATAGACTGCTGTATTACTTTGAGTCAGGATTTTCAAAACTGTCAGTGAATCCTGAGCTATTTGAACATTATAACAGTTCAAGCAGAAAAATTTTAGGGAAATTAAGCTCTTTTAACAGCTTTAAGAGAAAAGTTTTCTGTCAGAGAAAGAAAAATCTTTATGATCCTGTCAGGTGCTATGGAATGTTATAGTATTTTACTGTGATCTGGATAAGACTTACCAAAAACTTGTTGAATTGTCCCTTGGTCTTGGGCACTCCAACCCAAGCTCGTTCCATGCTTATTCCCTTCTTCCTCTTATCCTGTCATTTTCAGAAACACTTGTATCATGCAATTGCACAAACATAAGGCCCAGCTGCACAAGCACTCTTCACTGTTTTACAAAACTCAGGTAGTCTTCCATAAAGCTTCACAGCCTTTCCCTCCCCAGGGAAAGCATCCTGGTGCTTTAATGCTTTAATGTCTCAGGGACACCTCAGAACTTCAGGGCACTCCCCACGTGTGTAACAGACCGTGTCTCCTCAGAGTGGAGATCCATTCAGGGAGCTCTGCTCAGAGACCAGTGACAGGTAAGTGTTCAGGAAATGGCTGTTCCAAATCTGTCTTCAATAAATTTCTGTTATATCTGCAAGTGCAGTAAATGGCTTGGAAGCCCAGTGCAAGTGGTGTTGGTATTCCAGCCATATCCTGAAACACCTCTGAAGCACAGTTTAAGGTCCACAGGAGTTCAGTTGCAAATGTGGTCACTACCAGTAAAAATGTGTTGTGTATGTGGGTCTCACAAGCTCTTGTACCATGAAGTGAGTTTTTATCAAAGGAGCAAGTAAAAGCTGCTGCCTTCTGTCCAGGTCACACAAAGTGTTACGTCCAAGCCAAACATCACGGAGTAAAGAAAGGACTTTTGACAGAGGGAGATTGTTTTATTTTTAAGTAAGCTATTTTTGCACTGCTTACTGGTATGAACTAAAATGAACTCAGTTCCTGTGTTTTTTAACTTCTAATGAACACTGTGATAAAAGCTGAAGGGGTTTTACACTAACAGTGCCTTCCAGTTTTTAAATTTTGTCATTACTGTCTGTGATATGGAGTCATTCCAAAGCTTTTCCCCCCCTTATCTGTTTGCATACATAAGAAAAAGATAAGGCATATTTACTCAAGTTTACAAGTATTTTCTCAAAAAGCACACTTTTTTCAAAGTAATGTACATTTGCTGGAAGAAAAATGTATTTTAGCCTGAGCATATGGCTTTCTATGAGAATTGCAGTCAGGGCTCACTTGTTTTCTCTCTGCTCGGAGCTTTGAGGGAGGAGTGTTGGCTGCCACTGTTTGTGCTGAAGGATTTCTTTAACCTCAAAAATCAGTAAAGACTCAAGGAGTGGAGAAATGCCAGTTGTGGAAATGACACATATTATAGTCTCTGTAGCTCTATAGGAAGGACACACTTGGTTATTTTCTGCGGATACAGAGAACTGTTGGACAAGTATCCTGACTGTTGTGGAGTGAGGATGGCCAGGAGGTGCCAAGGACTTCTGTAGGATGAGGCTTTAAATACATCTTAGACTGAGAATAGCACAACTGTTAATAAACACTTTGAAACCTCTTTTTGCATGTTGTGTATTACTGTTACTCCTCAGGATGATTTTGGGGGCCGCCCACTAAGCAGGGGCACTTTGGGGAGGTGAGTGAGTGGTAGTGACTCATTCCCTGCCCCCCAGCAGGGCTTCCCGCACGGCTGTAGCTGAACAGGCTTGTCCCAGGAGGACTCTCTCCAAAAGGTGTGTTTGGGAAGGAAGCTGTGGCCCCTCTCCTGCTCTGTGTTGCAGCACATTGATCGTATTGAAGCAAACCCCCCCTCAAGTTCATCTACTTTGGTTTCATAAACTGCTGCCATCCCGGTGTGGGCAGAGATGGAGGACAATTTGCTATTCCCCTTTTCTCCCACAATCCTTTTTCAAATTCTTATTTATGGAGTTTACTATTAAAAGAACACAAGAGATTAGCCCAAGGCCATCTTTCTTGAGTAGTCAAGGTCATGGTTCCTTTGTCACAAGCAGAAATCTCTTGTCCTACCCCTATGTGTGTGTGCTGCCTGTCCATAACATTTCATATTTCAGTCACCTTTTGCTTAATTTTTTTTTCTTTTCAGTTGAGTGGTTTTCATCCATTTTGTTTTTGTCTTTGTTTTGTTCCCCATTCAGGAGCAATTATGTTTGCCTCTGCATATTTTAGAAGAGAAGGGTTTGACACAGGTAGCTGTGACTGTCCAGGCGCTCCTGGAGCTGGCACCCCCAAAGCAGCAGCCACTTCACCACTTGTCTGCTGTGTAAAGACCTCCGGGACCTTTTGGGTTACCTTGGCTAAGAGAAGGACCTGAAGACTTTACTGCCCATGCAGTGCATCCAAACACACAGAGCTCTGTTCTAAGGAAATGAGTTTCCGTGATTCCTGACAGGAATGTTTTCTTCATTTCTCCATTTTTTGGAGATCACAACAGTTTCCAGGAACATTTTTATTACCAATATTTTTGCCCCTTATTTAAAAAAATGAGAATTCATTGGGAGGAGGGCAGGGAATTCTAGTGGCTGGCTGTTGGAGCCAGCTGTAGAAATGGACCTTGCAGGATGAAGAAATGGGTTTAGAGTCTGGAAAGCAATTCCTAGGTCAATTTGTAAAAAATAAAAAAAAGGGTGTTGCTGCAGTGGGCACACAGGGAATCGAATTACTTTCCTTACCCACGGGGTGCAAAGAAATGGAGTTTCTTTGCCTCCAAAGAATGGCTATTTCTATTACAATATTTTTTAAATTGCATCACACAATCTTAACCTGCAGTGTTTGATAACAGGGTCGAACTTCACACAGCTGTCCCTTGCCTTGTCAGGTCCTCATCACTAAAAGTTGAAGAAAAAAAAACCCACTTTTTTTTCCCCCCAATGGAAAAATTACTGCATGTTTTCTCTGCCAGAAACACTTTAGTAAAAGATACTAAGTCAGATCTGTTCAAATGGGATTAATCCCATCAGTATTCTTGCTGGGTTCACTTTCTGTTTGGGTATTAACATGTCTTTATCTGAATACTTTTCTAACAGCAGTGGAGGGATATTGCCCGTCCTCACATCCCCTGCTGGTGGTTTTGTGGGATCACCAGAATCCTGTGCATCTCCCTGCAGTGGGACCAGTGCCAGCCTGCCCTGCTGGTCGTTAGAAGTCCTCCCAGCTAACACATTTGTGAGGGGCTGAAGCATCCCCTGCAGGCACAGAACGGATCACGTTGAGAGCACGGTTCTCAAGTTCCCCAGGCGGGCTGGGTGTTGGCAGAGCAGCACCTGTGCTAAGGCAGCTCTGAAGGTTAGAGAAGGCTTTCAGTAATGCCCTTTATTAGTTGGAGTTTATGTAGACAGATGTGCTGGTTTTACAGAACTGCTCTTGATTCCTCTTCCCATAACGTAATAATGGGAATTCACAGTACAGAAGTGGGAGAGGCAGCTGACAAATTTTGCATTTTCCTGGAAAGCTGATGTGCAAAATAAAGACAGGTCTGTATGCTCTGGTCCTACTGACAAGGCCAAGCTTGCTACCAGATCAGTTACCAATTCTTTTTTTTTTCTCCTGCACAAAAAGGCCTCACAGAATCCAGTTTCCACCCATGTGGTTCCTTTGTTGAGTGTTGCCCAATTCAAAGCATCCCTGAACATTGTGCTACTAATAGATGGTACATGTTCTGAAAGCAACTCCAGGCATCAGCCATATTCTGTCTGGGATATATTTGAAGCAGAATACACTGAGAGGATTTTATGCAGATAAAGGAAGAAGAAATGGGAACAAATTACCTAAAAGTCATTTTTGCAGAAGTAAAACCTGCTGTGGGAGTGCCAAGGACTGGTCTTAGCTGTATTTTCCCCCTTTTGATTTGCAGTTTTGTTTCCTTTTTTTTTTTTTTTTTTCTTTTTTTCTTCATGTATTTCTTTCAAGGGCCATTGTGGTGATTGTGGAATCCCCTATTTCTCATAATTATTCCAGTTGCTTCTTATTTGCATTGGTTGGTCACATTTCAAGTGAAGAACACCTGGGAGGTGTTTAAGAGTGCCCAGCTGCAAAGCGAAACCTCCTCATGCTGGGCAAATGCAGTGCCCTGAGCCCTGCAGGGAATGGAGGTGCCAGGAACTCCAGTACCCACAGGAAGAGCAGCTCTCTCTGCAGGCATTCTCACCCCCTTACGTAGTTTTTGTGTTTCACTTGATGCCATTGGTGAGGAGCATTGGTCATTCCCACGGGGTTACACAGAGCTGTCTGAAGTGTCTGCTGCAGTTTGCCAGGGGGAAGATGCTGCCACTCACAGGCAACAGAGACAGGGTGTTCCTGGTGTGTTTGTCTGCACGTCATTTGAGAGAGAGGGAGGCACTGACTTCATCTTGGTGTCCAACATGAGGTCACCTGTTGTTACAGGGACAGTTGCATTTACCAGCACACCCATCATGGGCTATTTAAATACCCCTGTTTGAAGAAAACCATTCCCTTCATGGAGTTGTGAGGGTGTGGTGCTTGCTCCAGCACTTAAGGAAAATTAAACTTAATAGTATTCAGGTTGGTGGGAATTTTGTCATTTAATTAACAGTAGTTTTTAATGGGGTGGGGGCTTGAGTCTGGCCTGCAAGAAAGAGCCATTTCTATTGCCATGTGTGGCTCACAACCTGAGTAGCTCATGGCCACCTGTGGCTGGAGGCCAGGCAGGCAAAAGGTCCCTGGCACCAGGTACTTTGTTGTGAGCAACATTCACTCTGGAATTTCAGTGCAGGTAATTGTGTTAGTTTGACATTTGTAATCTTAGGTTTTCAGGCTGGCAAGCACTAAATCTTGTCCAGATGCTTAGGACAAAAATCCAAACCTGAAGTTTCATCATGCGGTTTATTTAATGGTTTATTTACCAAACCCACTTCAGTTCTCTCTTGCAAAATGGGTTGGGATTTTTCAGTGTAGTTATGTGCAATTTTTGTTGTATCTCATGAAGAGTATTTGAAAGAAAACACGTATAAAGTTCTATTCTGTGTGTTAACGCAAAGAAGAGATGCTCTTTCCTCTTCAGGGCATTTGTGCTGGAGGATGTGGGAAAGATCCACCTCAGTGCTCCATGCTGCCGGCGTTCCTACCTGACTCCATGGTGTCACACTCCATCCCCAAACCTGGCGAGCCCTGAGCAGTGTCTGAGGCTCTGCCAGGTCACACACTCCAGGTGGAGCAGCCCAGGCACTCGGGAGCCCCTAATGGCACTGGGGGTTCCCCTTTGCAGGAGAGGCTTTTGTGAAGGCCCTGTTCCCTGCTTAAATCCACCAGGGACAGCTCTTCACAGTGCCAGGGCACCTCTGTTGTTCTTGGTAGCAGCAGGATGGCAAATGGTATTCTTATCCCTTTATGACTATAAATGGTTCTTTGAAAAACTGTTTTAGAAAGAGAGGACTTGTAAGGTGATTTTGGACATTGTGATGTTCTACAAAGTGATCTAATTTTGTTATTTCTGAAAACAGTGTAAACGTGTAAGTAATAGAGTAAAGGATTTTAAAGCTTCATCCCATACTGTATGTCTGTAAATACATTCCATAATTTCTGTTACATATAAATGTGTCTGAATATTGTATATTTTAAATGGCCTGTATTCTGCCAGTAGTGTGAACTTCTAGCACATTGATAATATAAAAGGAAACCATGGGTATTTGAAATAAAGTTCTAAAACTTACATGAATTGCAGTATTTCTTTCTGCTGTTTTTCTGTTGCACCAACGAACATCACATCCGCTGTGTCAGGTGTTTATTCCCCTTCCACATCATCCCAGTTCACATTTGATGGACCTGCTTTGATTTTCTACTTTTCATAGTTAGCCAGGACAGGAAAATCACAGTATTTTTACAGATATTTTGCAGCCACATCAGAAGCTTTTTCTTGGGTATTTTTAACCTTTCCAGAGACTGATTTTTTACAGAATCCTTTGCTCATCTCTCAACAGCCCCTTGTTTTTTCCTTCTCTACGTAAATGATACATTCTGGGTTTGGGGTTTCCTGCTGCCAGTCCCATTGCTCCTTGTTCTCATCCTTTGCTTTTGGCCTGTCTTGGGTTTGAAGTGTAAAACTCTCACCCCTCCTTCCTGACCCTGTTGCTTTTGAAAAGTTTATTCTTAGCCAGAATGTTTAGTCCTCTTTTCATCTCTCCTCATCACTACTTTTATATATTTTAAAATACAAAAATGCAAAGCCTAGAAATTGCCAGAGATCCACAAACCCTCCCTGCTTTTGTTACCCCTGTGATGCTCTTCCCTGTTCACCAGGCTGCTCCAGCATCCTTGTCTGACCTGGTTGCTCTGTCAGCCACTGGGGACAGCTCCATTCCTGCCTCTCTCAAGGCTGCCCATCTCTCTTAAGGTATTTATTTCTCCCCCTCAATCTAAAGCTTCCTCCTAACCAGTTGCTTCCCAATCTCCAGCCTTTATTCTGCATTTAATTCCCAGGAAAACCCCCTCCAAAGGGCATATGATTTCCCTGCAGAAAATTCCATGGATGTACGTTTTGATCCCATCTCTCCACAGCAGGAAAAATAGAGCAGTACCAACTGTGGCACAGTTCCTCAGAAGTGCTGGGTTTGGGACTCAGCTCCCAGCCCTGGACGTGCCAGCCTGTTTGCTTGGCAGCTGCACAGCCCAGACACAAACTCTGCTGCGGTTTCTGGGCAGTGAGGGGAGGCTCACACAGAGAGCAGCACCTGAGATGAGCTGGTGCAGCCAAGGAGGGGCTGGATGGGTGGCACTGTGGCCACAGTCCCCAGGCCAGGCTGTGTGGCAGGTCACAGAGTTCAGTTGGGTTACACACCTGTGCCCCTGTCACTACCCTGCAGTGGCCTGATGTGGGAAACTGAGGTTCAGAACCCCAACTTCATGGGAAAACCCTGTTCCACTGTTGCCTCTTTGTTTCTGTTTCCAGAGCTACTTCACTTTCTGAGAAGCAAGTGCAGCCCAACATCAGATTTCAGTTGTTTGGTTGCATTAATCAAGTGTGCCTGGAGTTTGACAGCAGAGATCTGCTGCCCTCCATGTTATCCTGCTTTTCCTTAGCTCAAAGCCTCTGGAGAGTTTTGAGATCAACTTCATTCCTTCCACCCAGGCAGGTCACCTGTTGACACCCTCATCACATACAATACATCCCAGGTCTGTGGTGAAATGTACTGAGTCAGCAGCATTGAAAAGGAAGAGTTAAAATTAGGAACTTAAGTCCTGGGTTTGCACTGAGGCACCTCCTGCAGTGGGGTGTAAGCACAGTCCTGGCTCTTCCTGCCAGCACCAAACTGCTCTTAGCACTGCATGGAGATCGTGGGAAGCGAGGGCATTTGTTCAGTACCAGTGCTGGAATGGGAGTTTGTTCAGGTTTCCAGCAAGCATCCATGCTCCAGCAGGAACACCAGCGCTTCTAATGCAGTTTGTCTGGAGCATCTGCAACTTCAGCACTCCCCTGACAACCAAGTCTGCCTGATAAGGCACCAGCGCCTTCTGTTCAGAGTTTTGAGCCACAGGCTCGCTGCTCATGGTTTTAGCCATCTCACCTGAACTTCAGAGCTTTTGGCCCAGTTCAGGTTTGGACACGAGGCTTGGATGCAGCCAGCACAGGCTGGTCACAAAGAGCAGAGCAGACTGTGCTTTGAGATCATCTCCCAAGTGGGAGAGTCAGAAACCAGGCAGCTCAGCCACAGGGTTTTGTGCACAGACCTGCCTGTGGACTGACTGGTGTCAGGAGCAGGGATTCCCTTTGGGTTAAAAGCAGCTCTGCTCCCTGCCTTCAGCCCTGTCCCACTGTGCAGTGGCACTGGCCAGGGCGGTGGGGACGGCTGTGACAGACCAGCTCCTGCAGGCAGCACGGCTGGCTGCCTTTTCCCTTTGTTCTCCCCTTGGTCAGAAGGTATATGGAGATGTTCTGTCTGTGCGCTGACACTGTGCAGGACTGTGGGAATGGAAACCTGCATGCTCTGCCTGCACTTGTGTTTATACTGCAGACTTGCCCTTGTTCTCCCTGCTGATCTGATGCCAGTGCTGGAGGCATGGAGAGCACAGAGGGAGCCCAGCTGGGGCTGCCTTAGCCTCCCTGCCTGACACAGAACCACAACCAGTGCTCTGGAGGCAGCAGAGGAGGCTCTGGGTGCAGAGCATCCCATGCTGGTGAGTTACTGGGCTGGTAACAGGATTACCTCCCACTGTCTTGTTTCCCTAACGCTCTTTGCAGGGGATATAGTGTTTCTCATTGCTTTGATGCAAATCCCCTTTCTGCTGGGAAAAAAGGCTGTACAAGGGCAGCTTTAAGATCTTTAGTGCAGCTTCACCATAACTGTGTCTGCAGGAACTGTGTTCTCCAGAATTGCCCAAGCTCTGTTACGTGGTTTATTTTGTCCTGTCACACATACCACAGTGCCTGCCCAGCAGCAGTCCTGGAGCACATCTGTGGCCACTTTGTTTACTTATTTCTTTGCTCTAGATTTTTCCTTGCCTGTATCCTTCTCTGCTGACAGTTCCTTCAAATACTTCTCAAGCACCTGGTAGGGGCCAAGGAATCTGCGAACCATTGTACCTTTCCACCAGGCCTGCACCTGGAAGTGAGAGAGAGAGAAGCCTTAGAGGAAATCGCTTGCTGGGGTACCTGGTACAGCTCAGTGCCTGGAGAGTCCTTCCTGTGCTCTCCAGCCACAGAAGGGAACCTCCAGCCCATGCAGCAGCCTTTGGGGCTGTGCTGGTTGTGCCAAAGGCATCCGTAGCTGGGCTGAGGGCACCTGTTGCTGGTGGCAAGGGAAAAGCAGGGGCACTACCCCGTGACCCTCCCCGTATCACCTGTGCAGTGATATTTGCAGGAGACTGGCTGCTCCCCTTGCATTTCCCATCTCAAACCTGCAGCCAGCTGCTGGCTCTGAGTATGCCCCAGCAGGAGGAACAGCCTTTATCCTTTGCTTGTGCCACACACCAGCCAGCTTTCTTGGGCTGTTTTCTGCCTGGACAAAGCCTGTGGCACAGATTATGAACTCCCAGCTGCTGCTGGGGCAGCACAGCCTCAGCTTTGCTCCCCTTTACCTTCACAGCACTCTTCAGCTCCAGGGCTTCCTGCTCTCTTTGTTTTCTCTTGGTCTCCTTGTCTGTCCGGTCAATGATGATGGTTGTCTGGAATGTCAGGCACTGCAAGAAAGCACAGGCATGGCAAAAGCCATGACAAACACATCCCCTAAACTGCAAGGCCAGCCTTCAGGGCTCACTGTGCCCAGCCATTTGCCAGGGCAGGGCACACCTGGACCCTGGTGCAAGGATTCCTTCCCTCTGCTGCCCACACGTCTCATTCTTGTTACACACTTCCCACAGCCCTGCCAGGACTGCTCAGGCCCATGGGTTGTGGTGTCCCTCTGCACCAGGGAGCTCCAGGGCAGCCCAGGGATAATGTGTGAGTGGGGGCTTTCCTCCCCACCTCTATTATTTGATCTTTTCTAAATCCAGATGGCAAATGTTGCTCATTACCACCATCAGTCTTCAGGCACTTGGAGCTGCTGCCAAAGTGAAACCTCTCACGGCCTGGATGTAATTAACCCCCTGATCCTGTGCTGTAAAATGGCTGGCTGATGGCTTCCCAGGCAGCAGCTGGTGGTGGGGAAGACACTTGGTCCCCCAGGCCAAACAGCAGATGATGTACAAACACACTTGGGAGACTGAGATGACAGTGTACAGAGTGAAAAATGAGCCCACAAGCAGGGAAACATCCAGCTCCATCCCATCATTTCGAAGCCACGGACGGTAAGGAATGTTTACAAGTAAATTCCTTCTGGTTTTAAAGCACACATTTTTCTAGATGCTTTTCTCTGTTCTGTGCTGCTCTTCTGCTGTGATCAGAGCTCAGCAGTTAACCAAGAACCCAGTGGGGCAGGAATGGTTCTACCCAGAATCAGCTCCCTGATCACAGAGCTCTGTGCAGCTGGGAATGTGTGTCTGCAGGAAGGGATGAGCTTCCAGTCTCAGCCTGTCTTATCTTGATCTTCCTAGGAGGAGCAGATTTGTTCAGACTCGGGCAGCAAAGTAAGGTGAGGCATACTGATGAGATGGGACAGTACTTCTGCCCCTCACAAAGGCTGTCAGTAGCTCTCTCATTACTTGCTGGTATTTGAAAATAGCTATAGGGGAAACATCATCATCCCTCCTTGATGTCACAGGTGGCAAATAGAAGATGACATCTCAGCCACTGTCTTCCCAAGACAAGTGCTATAATCACAGCCTATGCCTCAAAATTACTGATTTTTTCCTGTGGTCCTGGTTCCTTATCCAAATGAGTGTAGGAAAAAGCCCAATCAATTTTGCATGGCTGAATATTGAGATGCTGATGTCTTACCTCCTTGGCAAATCTCTGCATCGTTTCCAAGTTCTCTGCCTTTAATGCTCTTAGATCATCCAGTTCTTCGTCTTTTGCAGTAGTGTCTTTTTTATACTTCTCTATCCAGGATTCCAGCCTCTCTTTCACCTTCTGCATGGGGAGAGAGTGGTGCTCAGCATGGTGCAAAGAGGGCACAGGTGAGAGGTTTGCTACTATTACATGGTCTGCTTTCAGGATGGATGTGAGAGTCCTGTAAACTGTGCATGGTCAGTGTTTCCTTCTCATCTTGAAAGCATCAAACCCCTAAGACTACTCATAAATTACTGCAGGGCAGTAATTTTGTGCAGTCAGTTCTG